CTAAACCTTTGTTTTGGCCTTATTGCAGACAGCAACGTGATTATCAACTATGTCCACGCTGTGTTTTGCACAAAATACCAGAATAGTTTTACCTGCTGTCATGCTCCCACACCTGAATTTGCTGCCTTTTGCCTGTTTATGACGCTTTAAGTCTTTGCCCCATTTGTTTAGATTTAACCAGGCTTGGAAATGATTTGGTCTGAAGGAGAACGTGGTGCTTAAACACAAACTCAGCTAAAACTGGATTTTTTTGGATGACAATAACTAGTCACTAGTTTACGTATGAGGTGTGCCAGTAGGAGAAAAAACACGTGACACAGGTACAGGAACTGACTCCACAGAGATCAATCAGTCTTACTTTGGACAGCTGGTGCAGAAGGGCTTTAAAGTGCCAAAGTCTGGAAAGTTTATTGATGGCTTAAAAAAGTAATCCGGTAATGATGGCTTTAGACAGCTACCCAGATTTAGTCCTACATCGCAGGCTCCAAAAAGACCTGCATGACTTGGGTCAAACCCAGTTCAGCAAAATTCCACTTCCACTCTGTCCAGACTCTATCTATGAGATATTTCACAATACAATACTGTACAACTGCACTCCAACAAATATTTGTGCATGTATGTCTCTGACTGAGGAGAAAAGTTCATACACAGGATATTACTGGAATAATTTGTGGAATATTCACAAACAACTGTGTTACCTTTTCAGGCAGAGCTGGAAGGAAAGTAACAGAAAAGCAACATCACACTGGAAGTAGGTTAAAGATGTCTAGACACTGAAATCCATTCTCATCACGGTCAAATAATCCTGGAGACGGTCTGATTTGAGAAACTCATATGATCTTCCTGCAGTCTGAGCATAGCCTGAGTTTAGCAAAAACACTGTAAATAGTGGAAAACAGAAAAACATCAATTAACCATTTAATGGTGGGTTATGTGCCAGATTATTTTTGGCTGCAACCAGTAACTTCCTCCCTCATCCGCTTGCCTGACAACAGCTCAGAACTCAAAAACCAGCCAAAAGACAATGCTGCCTGCAAAGCAGTTTATTTATTTATCTGTTCATTTTAAAAATGTAAAAGGATTAGGATTATTTGATAACCGAATGTGGTCTCCATGATGGATTAGGATTATTTGATAAACGAATGTGGTTTCCATGATGGATGGATACCGCCACGTTTAGACCAAGTTAGGGCAATGGTTTATCCTCAGTTTTTAGATTTCATGAAGCCGATCTTACAGATATAGACATGTATCTTCCAGTGAGTAAGTAAGAATGCTTCATCATGCTTTAGAGATAAGAGTTTCTCTCTCTTTTCTTGTGCAACTATAACCGTTCTTGTGTATTTATACCAGATTGTAGGTATAATTCCCTGAACCCCATTTTGAGTTTCTTCAGATCCCACGGAAAGGAGGATCATTTTGATGAGAATGAATGAGTGCTAAAAAAAAAGCGGGCTGTGGTCAGTCCATTCTGGTTAATTGAGGTAGTTAGGTTGGAAGAGACTTAAAAGCCAAATTCCCCCTTGACACGGATGGCTGTCCTATAAGGGACCCTCAGTAGAGCCCTCAGGTCTTTTGATAGGGCACTCGCCAGCGTCCTTTGGGGCTGTTTCACCCCCACAATAAACAGGCAGGCCTTTGTCGCTGAGAGAAGGGGGGTATGGAGGGTTTCTCCTCGTTATTATTTTCTAAAGTAATTATACCTTATTATCTGTGTTTACTTTAGCGGGGGTGTAAGCATGCAGGTGTGGGCCATTCTGCAGTGGGTTGGCAGTCCCTGCTGAACGCAACCCAGAGTCTTTTTTTTTTTTTTCCCCTTTTTTTTTTTTTTTTTTAAAAAGAACTCTCCTCCAGCCATCTTTACTTTACTTTACTTGGTGGCTTTTTTGGGGTTTTTTTTTAGATGTAGCATTGTAGCCCCACTGTTAATTTCAACCCAACAAAAGAAACGTGCAATTAGGGCTATTATAGTAGCAGCTGCACGCTTCCTAGCTGTGCAGCGACAGCTTCTTCCTCACCCCGGCGCTCTGGCGAAGGGATCGGAGAGGGGAGAAGCAGAGAGAGCAGGGCCTGTAGCAGTGGGAGAGGGGAAAGCTGGAATGGCCACAGTAGCTCCGAGCAGAAAAGAGAGGAAAATATAGCTTTAGAGGCTGGTGTGTTCCTTCAGAGTAGACACAGCGGGGACTCTCGCCCACAGGCTTGTGGGCCTCGAGAACAATGGATCTGCCATCTCCCAACATGAAGTGTTATGAAATAGTCCTCGCCACAGATCCATTGGCTGCTCTCTTGCATGTGGTCTCAGAACTGCGTGGGCCGGGGAAAAAGATTTGCAAATAAGAAAATGCTTTTAGGGGAATCTGGGCATTCAGAGGGACAAGAATCAGCCCGTGGCGCTCGCTCATTTGGTGGCTCAAAATGCCTTTAATGTGTTGAAATGGTCGGATTATACAAGTACAAGATTTGCAAGAAGACCGAACAGGGACAAATAGCTGCTCTCCTTTGGAAAGGTCCCCGGCCCTCCCCCCAAAAAGAGAATGCCTTTTCAATATTGTTGAAATATTCCATCAATGGATTCTAGTCAATAACGGCCACAGTGAGCCATCGGTGTCAAGGTGAATCATGTGGGTCACAAAGGAACAACAAAAATACATGCAGAAATTCAAGTCATGATCAAATGGAACTGACAGGGGACACGGTGCGAGCTTGGCAATATTTGTGAGGTGGAATATTGAAGGCCTGTCGAGGCCCTCGCAGCGTCCAACACAAGGGAGCAATCTTACGCTCCCAGCACAAACAAAATGCTCACAAGTCTTCCTCTGTTGCTCTCACTTACCGATTCTCTCACTTGACTGACTTACCAGCCCCTCAGAATAATCATGTGGCCCAGGGCCCTTGGTTTTGTGGGCATAAACAGATCTGAGTTTCCTCTATGTAGTGGTCCGAGCACTCCGAGTTCACTCAGATATGAGACCTCGCTTTTATTTATTTCGCTACATGCCAGCGTAACGTTTATTTTCTTTATTGATATGTACATCGGTAGCAGCTGCAGCACACAATGTGCACTGTGCACTCAAGAGAGCTGTTGGGCTGTTATAGACAGATGATTGAGATAATAACTAGTGGTAAACAGGGATTTTGATTATTTTCCCTGAAGAGAACAAGAGGCTGTCACATGCTCATCAGCCAGCTTTCTGTTTTCAAACCTTTCAAATATGTGACCCAAGCAAGCAGATTTCCATTTCCACCCATTCAAAAACTTTAATGACAAAATCAGGCAACACTTTTTCCAAATGTAATCTGATGCAGAAACACACTGGACGGCTGGCTCTAATAAAAAAAAGGTCAAAAAACAAATGAACCAATGTGATATTACATCACTCATAAAAGATCCCCTACATACAAAAGTCTTACTGGCAGATGCAGGTTATTTAAGATGATTTTCTAAAAAGTGTAAAAAAGAAAAGTCAAACAGACAAATGGAATGAATTTAAACCCAAAAAATGATACGTGAACATTTCAGCTAAAGAAATTATTATTATTCTGCCTAGTCTATTCAGGGCCTACACAATCACTATAAAAGTACATTTCATGCTCAATTTCAACTTTGGGACTTCTGGTCTGACATTTTGTCACAAACTTTGTGGTTGAAACTGTGACTGAAAACTCTGCAGTGCCTAAAAACATGAAGCAGTTCCAAAACATGATGTGAAGCTTCGCTCCATATGAAACATATCTACTGTCACTGTGACTGAACACCATCTTTCCAAATCACAACCTTTGAAACAACCTGCTCTTGGGTCGTATGTCCACTTGAAAAACTATTTTTGCACAGATTGACTTCTTTTCTTTTCTTTTTTTTAACAAAAAAAGCTTATGACCAGACATTCCTTCGCAAAACGAAAGCTGTGTCAACACACTTTGACACCAACAGCCGCCGATTTTGTGTTGAAATTTGGGGATTCTGGAGTCTCGGCTTTTGAGATATTCCTACATTTCCTTCATACACTGGTCTTTAGCTGTTGACATGACAACTCTATACACCTAAACGCCTAAATATTAGAGGCTAAACTGATAAAATATGGTCATCTATTGTAATAAGTGGATTTGGACTTTTTTCCATGTAACTTGAAATACACTGAAAAGATTGATGATCTCTATAAATAGATCAATTTTGCTGTTTTGCATTAAATTTCAGTAACAATGGTCGTAAATAATAATGTGTGTATTATGTCTAACATGTTTTTGTCATGCAAGACTTAACATTTTGAATTTATTGTACAATTGCATTTAGCAAGATCAACTCCAAGAACTGAGTCCCAACAGATCACATCTCAAATTAGTTTGTCCCGTATAGAATTCCGGTCCAGATCACTACTGTTATGTAAAGCACTTACACCTACAGGTGGAGGATGAATTTAGTTTTCAGGACAAAAGCGGCTCTGGCAGCCTCTGTCTTACTGGCATCCATTTCACCTCATTAGGACCCTGGGACCAAGAGTCGGCAAAACACTGAGAGAAATCATTTTGCCGGGGGAGTGTGGAGGGATAAATTGGCCTCTGGTTCAGTACAAGAGTTCCCGCTGTGCCGAGCGGAAGAGAAGGGCCTTGCTGGCAGTAGGGGCAGGCCCAGGCATGGCAGGCCTCATGCTGAGACCCCCCCCCTGCCTCTGACAAACACGGCAGTGGATAATCTCTCCTTCAGGGACTCAGCCCAGCACTGTGGGGCTGAGCAGGAAGGGGGGCTGTTATGAGCCACAGCGCAGAGGAACCGCCGCTCTATGTGTGTGGCACGCACCACAAGCACACTTGTTTGCAATGTGTGCGCCTCCTCGGTGAGCAGCGTATGCACATCTCCTTTCCTCTTGTCAACACTTACATTCACTTTTCCTCTGCGCGTCGATAAACAGCCCTCCGTAAATCGCTGTTGCTTTATAATGAGCCCAAATATCAGCTGATTATTCTAAAACCATTGGATGATGAACTATTCCAGATCTATTGGCTCTGGAACATGATTACTTAAGTGGAAAAAAAACTTCTTTTTTATTTGGAACAGAAATCCAATTTAATACAAGCCTAATCTGGATGTAATACAGGGGCCTGGAACATAAACCATATCGTAACTATTCGGCAGGTGCCATCATGTGTCCCATAACTGCAATGCTCAAAAACACTTAAAGGGATTTTTTTTCTCAGAACACTTTATTTCCATAAATATTTCTTTAAAAAAAAAGAAACAAAAATAATATCCTCAAATGTCTTCTTGAGCTGGAACGATGACTGAGCCAGTAATAACCAAATAAGAATTTCCAAATCCAACATCATTGAATCTTGAAAGGCTGAGCGAGCCACTAGGACGTCTCCATCTTGTAACCGTGTTTTTCAAGCTCCTCTCTGCAGGAAGGGGAAAGAAAATAGAAACATCGAGTCAGCAGAGATGATTACAGGTGGGCGGTCATGGCATAAGTACCCTCTGTTATTGATTGTAAGAACCATTAGGAGATGGGAGTGAAAAAAGATATAAATATTATATAATGCATGAAACTATGGATATAATGATTGCATACATATGTATAGCCACTGTGCCCTTAAACAATAATGATGTCTTTAAGAAACAACTTAATAGTGCAGTTATTGTAATTGGCCTTAATAAATAGAGAAATGGCATATTGCTGTCTGCTATTACGGTTTCTACAAGTGCACTCCAATAAAAAAGAACTCCCGCTTTTCTATCAGCAATTATTGATTAAGCATGCAACTGTAAACTGCCAGTATATTACAGATTTTAAGATAAATTTAACCTTAAATAGGAACGCTCCAAGCATTATATGCTCCTTTGCGTCAGCAACATTATGTCTGCCATTTATTTTCATGTGTTTTAGAACTGTTTAAAGCCTAATGCTATATTTTGCATATGACCACTGCATTTTAACAGCGATTCAATAATTAACACAACAACAACAACAAAACCATAGCGGAAAAAGTAGATGCCATCTCAAAGGCAGCTGTTTAAGTTATTTGAAGAGCTAAAGACAACTTTTTTTCTGCGTTTCAATTTAAGAAGAATACTAGTTTATTTATCTATTTAAACACAACACAAACGCCTGCATTAGGTAGCAGCTGTGATGAGATCACTTCTACCAGCATGTGTTTATATCTATAAGCTACATCCTACAGTAACAGTAAGAAGTCATTGTATGGAAATCAGATCAATTGCAGATCTCACTTGTAATTAATTGTAAGAATGTAATCATATTTTTCCCTATGATTATTAAGCTTGCCTTCTCATTCTGGGCACTTAACTCGATCAAATACAGTTATTCTTGTGAAGTGAGCTTACCTTAGTTGATTTGAAAAGTCATCTTCCACATTGTCATCGTCCCAGTTGTCTTCCCAAACATGCTCATCTTTATCTTCATCCAGCCCCGTCCAATCTGCGAGTTAAAGCACCACCGGTCATGATCTCATAATAGCTTAAACATGATACTCTCATGCGATTTATGTCCAACACAACTTCCTCAAATTAAACAAAAAGAAATAAGGCTCCGTGTGTATAATGGAGCAAGTCTTCGACTGTTTACCATTCCGACTCACTGCTGGTTCATGTTACGTTCCGTTTCTGGTGGCTAGGCTAAGCTAAAAAGCTAAAGCTACTGACGCTTGTAGAGAAAACACTCACCACTGGCCGGATAAGCAAACACAGGCTGTATTTCTACCACCACGTTACAAAATAGCATGCTGGGTTGCATAGACTAACTAATTCGACAAGATATGGATATAACTTATTCTGAGTGTTTCCCCCCTTTGAAAATAGCCAATAAGCTAATTGGTCTAGGCTAGTTGAGTCACTCTTGCTAGGCCAAGCTCCACATAATTAAAATTTACAGCCAATCGGTGATAAACAAGACAAAAAGCACGGTGGACTCAACTGCCCTGTTTAACTCCACTTACCCTCGGCTGGGAATTCTATAAACTCGTCATCCTCCTCCAGTAAACCCAAGTCTACCGTCTGCTTCTTGTCTGACATGTTAGCTCTTTCGGTGTGTTGCTGCTTGCTTGTTGATGAACGGCTCTCGTGCACCGGAAGTGTCGTCACAAGTGTCGCGCCGACCAACGGCCCCTGGCCGGAAGTGTTTATCTGCGAGAGCGCGCATTCAGCGAGTGGTGCTGGTGCTGTCTGTTTGACTTCTGTAGACAGAAAAAATGCAAAAAATTAAATAAAAGCGAAGCATATAGAAACAACTACAAAGTGAGGTAGTGTGCGCACTCGGGTGAATTGGATACTTGACTCTTCTTATTTAAATATCGTGTAGTCTGTTCAATCAACAATAACTAAATGCCGGAAATTAGTTTTATAGTTTTATTTTAAACATAAGTAAAAATCTTTACAAAATGCTTTACAAGAGTGTGCATGAAGTCTCACTTATAAGCAGAATTAAAACCACGAGTTTACTTCTAACCCAGTTCCCTCCCAAAAGGAGATCTAATCATACAGATTACTTTCACAAAACGATGTATTAAGTTTAATTAGCGCGAGCTATGTTGTTTGAGTCCTGAAATAATGGTAAATGAAAAATTAATTATATTTTTTTCAAATGAATATTTTTGATGAAGGAACCAATAACATCTCAAATATACCCCCCCCCCCACACACACACACACTCACACACATATATATACGTATATGTTTGTGTGCAAATGTATGTAGTCCTTTCTATCTGTTAAAAATGAACGAATTTTACATGACAAAAGTAAAGTTAAAAGTTAACACGGACATTTTATTTTATACATCTAATTTAGATATATCCCTTGTTTGGGGAAATAGATTTTATTTGCATCGTTAACAATCACTCTTTTTTAACATAATGGGCAATATTTAATGGATTTGGTTGAGGGTAATGGATTTATGCAGTGTAGTGGATCATATTTTTTACGATAAAAATGTATCAATTTACTATGTTATACTAATCTGACCCAAATCTGAAAGAATCATGAATATGTGGTATTTATCCTATTTCATTTGGTATTTTTACAAGTATTTCATCATTGGATCATTTGATTACAGGTACAGAAAAAATCTCATTACATATTATTGAAATGCTGTAGTTACACAAAATAGCATTTCCGAAGAGTTCATGTGGGTTTTGAGATTGAGTCATGAAAAGTCATCTATATATTTACGTTTTTATTTTATTTTTAAAACAAAGCTTTAAATGTGTGTCTTTCTTTTGCAAAAAAAATACATGTTTTTGATAGAAAGGGGTCAGAGGTTAACCTTCTGGTCATTCTGATGAATAAATGTTAGTTCATTGCCTCAGAACTGACAGAGGGGCCTTTAATTAAAGGTGTGAAGAAATACAAAGACATTCTAAATAGTTCAGTCAGAGAAGTTGTGACGCCAAAAAAAGTGAGGAAAACCTAAATAAAATGGTGCAAATATTTCAGTTCAGAAAACTCTTCTCTATGAATGTCTGCATTTCTCTGTGCACGTTTCTCCCCATTCACAGACACTTTTGTGCCACGCCACCACGAAAAGTCTCTTTCCTCAAAATATATGCGCTCAAGTCATTCAAATTTGGGCAAAGATTTCTCATTTGGGAACAAATGCACATTGTAACCCATGCGACTCGCTCAAATAATGAAGCGGCAGCCGCAGCTTAGGATGTATTTTAGATAAATGAGAGCGCACATTCACCACAAAACCACTTGCACCACAATGAAAATTGCTCTGCAGCTGTCAAATGTTGACAGACGGAACAAACCTCAACTTAAGCCCTGCGTACTTATTCTATTTTCAAATTATTTTGTAATCATCCTAAGCCTTTACTCATGACAATGCCACAACATTCAGGGGAAAGAGGAACAAGACATGCTGAGAAATTGGAAGTTAATGCTGTTTCTTTAAGCAGTCACATCCCAGTAAATGCAAAGCTGCAGGCACAGAGCAGCATGTTTCTATAGATGGAAAACAAAACTTCACTCACAAATAAGAACAAATTCAAAAGTCTCTGTTACAACCAAAGTTGTAATGTTGTGGGTTTCACTTGCTTTTTGAAACTTAGTATTTTCAGAAAGAACTAGAGTCTCTTTAATTACAGAGATATCCTCCAACACATTGCAAATGATCAAAGCTCAAGTCAAAGCCTATTCACGTCTTGTTTGGCCTTAAAAGCCCAATTTGCTGTTACTAATTAAAAGAAAAGCTCTAGATCTTCACATTTCTGAATCAGCTAGTATTTTATTAAATCTATAAAGAAATTAAATTATTTTGTAAAAATGATTTATATGTAGACAAACTCTTTCATGAAAGCTCCCGAGCTATTTCTCGAGAAACAGGCTAAGACTGTGCCCTTTTTTACCAGACCGGAGGTTTTGAAATAATGGGGTCAAGTTTACCATGAGCTATGAAACAAAGCAGTTTCATTCACATCTTATGGGACGTTTCACTTATGAATGATGTACTGTCTTGCTCTGAGCTGCCCTCCCTGAGGTCCTGCTGATACCGGTTCCCGTGTCACTCAGTCTCAGGTGAAGTCGGTGTCCTGGGAAGTGGTGGCTGCGTCCGCCCAGCATACCTGAGACTGCATTTACACTTCTCCTGGCGCCTGGAGTCTCTCTGCTCAGGGTAAAAAAAAAAAAAAAAAAAAAAAAAGGTAGAGCAGGGAGGCGGGCGGGGGCCCTCATAGAGTGTGGGTAAAGCACCACATGGCCAGAGCAGACTAGATTCCACCACGACTTGTGTCTGTGCGGCAGCATCACATTTCTGTTCTTTCACAAAGCCCTCTGGGAAAGGACGGGTCGGCAGCCGCGGTAAGTGCACCGACAGAGACAGAGGAAGACTCCGGCAGAAGCCTGCCCTTCCAGTCTGACAGTCTGCCCCCCCCCCCCCCCACCCCTCCTTCCCAATGCAAACTGCTGCCAGACTCTTTATCACAGCCCTGGTTCATGATGTGGCCTGAAGGCACTGTTCAATGAGAGGTAGATGGGTGGAAATTGGTGAAGGCTTGTGAGAGAAAAGAGTGTGTGTCACCAAATAATCCAGATCTCCTCCCGAAGATAACAGAGGAGCCTTGGCGCTCAACATGTCAGAGAAAGTGACAGTGCTTTGGACGACAGCTGGCTGTCTGCTGTTTACCTGCTGGACCTGTGGATACTTTGCTTAGACAACCCCCTTTTTGCCATTGATATTTTTCTTCTCACTAAAATTGATGCTTCCAGTGGTGCCACTCAAACTGTTCATGCATTAGAAAGTGAAGTTGTCTAAGTTTATGTCAAAGCTGTGGGGAATTAAGGCGCAAAAGGTAATGGGACACATGAGCTTAAAAATGCCACAAGACATTCAAGTAAGTGATCATTATGGATTAAACGGAGTTAAGCAGCCAATTATTGAAACAAATCCAAGAAAAAACATGTAAGCTTCGCTCCTGTAGGAAATCTGCAGAGAGAGCAGCATGCTTCCAGGATATGTCTGTCAAGATCCTGTATTAAATTTAATCCTAGCCAGTCGGTAAGTCTACTCCATTGTGTTTTGTGTGGAAACCCTGTCTCTCTTTCCATGTAAATACTTACACCAGAAAAGAATGGTGGATATTCACTATTTCATAAAGAAACTTGATAAGAAAATCAATTTAACTCCCTTAGGAGTCAAATGAAGATTAAAAAAGAAAGAAATGCGTAAAAAAGGAAAAGAAAGCAAGCAAGCAGGAAAGAAAAGAGCCTTTTTATTCTTGTTTTGCTTTACAAATCCATTTTTCTGGGGGTCCCATTCACTGAGATGTCTGTCATGACGAATTTAAGTTTCATATTTTCCCCCCTGTCTGTCTTGAAAAGCTCTGTCATCTTGGGCTTGAGGTACAGTTTGCCAAGAGGCTAATGGCCCTTTATGACAGTACAATCTGATGCCTGTCCCCCAAGCCTCCAGGTAATCCTGTCCACCTCGGCGGCTAAGCCCTGCTCAGGCTTAAGTTGCATATTTTGTTTTTATCAGGACACTGCTGATAAATGCTATCAGCGGGGGAGAAATGAAATATGGGGGGTCTAGCTTCATTGTGCCTTAGCCCCTACTTGGAAATTGAGAGTTGAAGAACAATGACACCTCTATTGGTGGATCTCTAAGAATAAACAACATTTTACTCATAGCTTGATCCGCAAAATTTGCATAGATTGTGAAAAAAATGTTCACAAACACTCTGATGTTGGCTTTGTAAACTATTAGATTGTCGTATTTCTTTGCATAACTGCTTGCTTATCCAATCACTCAAAACACTTCCAATTACAAAAACAGAGGCTTTACTTTTGGACCCCCAAAGTATGATTTAATAAAATCACGACATTACATGCCAATTTATTTCCAGTAATGTGCACTAATAGTGTGCTTCCTGTGTGTCCATGGTCCAATGCCGCAGACCTATACCGCATGTGAAAAGCACTCACACACTCTTACCATAGGTGATAACCCCCTCTGTGAAAAGCACTCTTATCGGAAGTGGCCATTATCTGCAAAGTCTATCCTCATGCTGACACTAAGTCATTAGCTTAAGCTGTCCTCTGTGTAAAATCATAGTTAATTTCCTTGGCTTTTTCTGTATCACAGAATATGGGAATATTTTCCATTTATTTCTACAAATCAAGAAATCACACCTAACGTTAGTACATGTTTAGGCACTTTATCTCCCGTGAACTCCTTCTGCAGGTACTTTCAGTTTAGTGACTTTTTGTTGCATTTATGTTAGGCATAAATGCACTCTTTTATGCTTACCAATCCCTAGCTTATTCAAGCCTGAAGTGCATCCATTGTGCTGTTCCAAGATCAGCCTAACAAAATGCCTTTGTGACAGATGACGCATGTCACGTCAATACAGTTTACCTGGATTTCCAACCTTTTATGCTAAAAAACAAAAACAAAAATCTAATAAATTTTTATTCCCTTCTCTGTGTCCATTTGTTAGATTATCTTTCTGTTGGACATTTTAAAGAAGATCAGTCATTACAGTCTGTAGCCTCCATACATACCATCATTTATGCCTCTCTTTTTTTTCCCCTTGCTTTGCCTTTCCATAGTAATTTTCTATTTCTCTATCTATCACACGCAGAAAACAGACACACCTCCCTCCCCCTCTAGTTACAGTCATGGTATGTCAAAGTGTGTGTGTCCCACACAGCAGGGGGGGCTCAGCGAATCCCTGACAA